TGTAATAATAAAAAATTGAAAAAATTGGGGGGGGGGGGGGGGAGAGAGTCCAACATGTCAAGACTTTGAATAAGAAGCGACATAGTTTGTCCTTAACATATGATAACTATAAGCGATAAAATTCGAATCTGATCAATAAAGATGCCCCAAAGGGAGTAGAACCGATAAAGAGCAGGCGCCAGCGCGAGACCGATAATCCTGTGTGAACGGCACCTTCAAAGTTGGGGGGGGGGGGCTCAGTCTCTACGCACCGTGTCTTCTGATTTAATCATTTTCATGCCTATTTTCACTGACGTGAAGCACCTTTCAGAGCATTATGATGTAAATTGGGGAGAACCTTTAAGACATGTTTTCCGCATTTAAAAACTGCCGAGTCATTATGTTAATGGTCCATTTTTATATATAAAAGACAGCAATTTCTTTAAAAACTGCAGATTGTCGGACACATCATACTTTCTTTAACGTTTTGGTGTATTTGATATAATACTAGTGGTCTTAAAGTGCAGCAGTGTTCAAAGCGACGCAATGCACTTGAGGCTTATATTGTGTACTCTTGCAGGTAAGAAAGAAGGGCTAGAGAAATTAACATGTATGAGAGCGACAGAGAAAGAGAGAGGGACAGAGAGGGTTATATTATAATACTCAATATATATATATAATTTCCGAGTATGCAACAAAAGAATTCACAGACGCTGCATCTCAAAGGGACCAGGTTTCATGCATTGAAGCTGCACGTGCAGGAGGCGGTTTAAAAAAATTTTTTCGTACCCAATAACGGACTTTTGTTGAATGATTTATTCGTATCACCTTACACCTAAATCAAATGTGACGTCACAAATTCGTGTTAAAGGAAAGATCCTCAGGTCACGTTCTATTTATCGAAATCACTCAATTGTCTTTTCAGGCCTGGCGTGCATCCCCGCCGTGTTTCCTATTTACTGCAATGGTCCGGAATGCAGCGACTGCAGGACCAGAACTGTCAGGTAGAGTGCAACTCTGTGGCATAGAGGCCATACAGAACAGAAGACCCGAGGATCTACTGATCCACGGATCAGATATGGCGGAAAGAAGAACCGACTAAGAAGCTGATGATCTCCCCGCCTCCACACGCGCAGTCTTTGCAGGGATCTAGCAATTAAACATCAGAGCCGTGATCAGATCTGTTTACTGCGGCGTGTGGAGGCGGGGAGACTCTTTGTTCAAAATATTTTTTTTAATATAGAGAACGATCATTGTAAGTTATTTAAAAACCTTTTACGCGTTGCGCCATACTACAACTGTACCAGCTAAATAGCCATTAATCGAAAACGTTGATCGTTTTTCATTAATTCAATCAAAATCCTTTTCAGCTACAGTTGCATTGACAAAACCGTAGCCGTGTCTGTCAACAAGGTGGTATGCTTGAGATACAAGTTGGTGTGTTATTACTACTACGGTTATACCGGTCTCTGTGGCTATTTCTACAGCAATTACTATTATTACTATGGTCCTTACCTTGGTCTCTGTCACTACTGCCGTACTATTTGTGAGGAGACGGGATTACGGTAAGTTAGCGATTACGAACTATGCGATTATGAAGCGATTATGAAGCAGATAGGGCTAATTAAGAACCGGAGTTCAGACCATAACTTCAGTCTAGTTTGCTTTGGGTTAAATAGGTAGTGTACCGGTACATAAAAAGCTAAATATTTCTAAACAGTGCCTGCTACATTTTAACGCAAAATAAATGATTTCCATTCTCCTTAAGAGTAAGGGGAGTTGGTCGGTACTTTCCCCGATTTTGTCCCTAAATTTCATGAAACACGAAAGAAAAAAATGTATGTATGCGACATATGAAGAATTTGTAAGTAATTACCATTCAGGTTTCTCTTCCTCTATTACAGCACGGTGTATGAGCAGCGGACGTTATACAAGACGTGCCACAGACAGGAACTGTATTGTCACAGCGGTGACGGCGAATGTGGCTGCGTTGACAGACCTGACATTCCTATCTAACGTGACAGAGAGTTTGCTTTTAAAAAATCTTCAAAATCGTCCCAGTACCTTGGTACTGAAATGCAATATTTAACCCGTTTTATTTGGTAAAAAACTGACTGGAGGAAGATATAAAATTTGATGTAATTCAGAAATGTTATTTGTTTTGAATAAAACCAAGTATGTTTTAGCAACTCCCTTTATTATTCTCTAACAATAATACTACGAATAAATAACTGGACAATGATTGAGAGCCATATTAGTCTGTCGCAAATTAAGTTATTTCCCTGAGTTAGGACATACAATCATCAAATTATCATACGTTTATTGCAAAATCTAAATTTCCCTTATTTAAATTACAAATTTCCCTTAATATGTTATCAAGGTAATAATAATAATAATAATAATAATAATAATAATAATAATAATAACATATGTCAGAATAAATCATTGTTGCGTCTAACCCAAAAACTTATTACGTACCATTCCTGTATATACTTCTATGAAGTTACGAAAATTAGTAATGTTGTGATTGGAACATTTTGAACAGATTTGGAACTTGCAACTTTTCTCCCTATCACAGTCATCAAACTCTGTCTATTTTAAAACATTGCAGGCCTTTGTCCTATTGCCCATTGTCTTTCCCAAGTGAGGTTTAAAATAGGATATTTCTGTTGTTTGCCCTACCTAAGATAAAATTACCCCTTAGCCCAGACAAAACTGATTAGTTGGCTTATAAGCAGCGATTCTCTGTAAACAGTGGTTAACAAATTGAATCTGTTTTTACTATGCAAATGTGTTTAATGTGCATAGCAGCAAAGTTGTAGAACCTGTCTTTTTTTTTTTTTTTACATGGAAGGAAATGTAAACCCACATGGTGAGTGATTTAAGAGCATTAAAATAAATTTACTGGTATGCATTTTTATTTCATGTCAACTGTAAATTTCTCCCATTTACCAGTCCCATTAAAAAATGAAGGTAAAAAAATTCTGATTTCATCAAAAAAGGGATGATGGGTTTGTTAACTAACTTTTCAATATTAATTCACTTTAATTAGTAATGTGTTCAGAAATGCAAATGTCTGTAACTATTGCACCTTTTCCTGGCACAAAGTTATACAGGAGTTTTCTGTAACTGCCAGCCTTGGAAAACTTCTGACATATTTTGTAAGCCATCCTGGAACAAAAAAAAAAAAAAAAAATTACTGTAATAATTCTACAAGAATGCGAATGCCAGTATAAATAAATAAATAACCCCACCAACTTCGATTGTGTAATTATCCAATCTCTGTGCCCTACTAGTACATACTGGATAGTAAAATTGTCCTCATCTGGTACTACTTCAAACCTGCCCAGCAAAGGGAGGGAAATAGTCTCTCTCTCTATCTCTCTCTCTCTCTCTCTCTATCTCTCTCTCACACACACACACACACACACACACACACTGGGAAAGGGAAATTATCAACAGGTTATTAGAACTCACCAAAGCCTATCCAGACTCAGGTATGGGCAGCTTCCTGGAAAATGAAGAATGTAGTGAAATTTTTAAAGTATGCTATATGTTGAAAAGTATCATCAGCTAATACTTTCACATGCAAATAGCTTGTAAAATAAACTGATGCGTACTAGCCAATATTCCAACTACTTAGCCTGCCTTCATCAGGGACTGAGGACTGATAACTGTCAGTATGAACTGATTTTGTCAGCTCCTCACTCCAAGCCCCTCCCCTTCATCCGCTGTTTATAATAATAATAATAATATGTATTGTTTAAATTATAGAATTAATATTGTAATAACATTTATGTAAACACAAAATATTTTTCATAAAAATTTAAACTTTGCATAAGATCTTTCGTTCTAACAGTCTTTAATTCTCTGAAAGCCTGAAACTCCTTAAGGTAATCACCTATAAAGACATCCTGACTCGAAAAATAGGTTTTTTTTACTTCTTCAATTTTTTTTTTTCAAATTATTGTGAGAATCTATTCCACAGCTCACCTTATGTTCAAGGAACAAATCCTCTGTCATCATGAGAAGCTCGCATTCTGGAAGCAAACACACAAAAACCTTTGCCATTTGTTTCCTCTGGGCACGCAATTTATCCCTGAAGACTTTGAACACTTCGCTTCTATGACAAGCCTCAATGTGCATTCTCATATCTGAAAGGGCCATAAAATTTTTTTGTTAATTGGAATTGTTTGTCCATGTGTCTGTCTTAGCTTGTTTGTCTCTCTGTGTGTCTGTCTGTCAGGCAGTCTGCCTAAATGTTTATGTACGTGTATCCTTAAAATTATTCAATAAAAACTGAATATATGGATGCATGCCAAGGGCAGATGGGGGCCATCTTCTGAGTTATCTGGAAGACAGTCAGAATTTTTCAAGTTTACATTGACTGGCATCTAATTTTTTCTGTCTGAAGACATTCAAAAATGGAGGATGAATCAACAAAGATAAGTTGAAAGACTCAGAAAATATCTCTGAATCCTCCCCTGCATACACTGTGTATGTTTGTGTTATTCTTTTCTCACCTTTTAAATTTGCAGACTCAAACTGACATGAATAAGAGGGTTTCTTGTACCCAATCCCAGGATAACACTGGTAGGAATGTTCTGCCTGAAAAATATAGGATAACACTAGTAGGAATGTTCTGCCTGAAAAACATAGGATAACACTGGTAGGAATGTTCTGCCTGAAAAACATAGGATAACACTGGTAGGAATGGTCTGCCTGAAAAACATAGGATAACATTGGTAGGAATGGTCTACCTGAAAAACATAGGATAACACTGGTACGAATGTTCCGCCTGAAATAAACATAGGATAACACTGGTAGGAATGCTGTGTCTGAAAAACATAGGATAACACCTGTAGGAATGTTCTGCCTGAAAAACATAGGATACCACTGGTAGGAATGTTCTGCCTGAAAAATATAGGACAACACTGGTAGGAATGTTCTGCGTGAGAATTATCCTGGATCCGCCCCTTTACACATTCTTTTACTAGGGGGCATAACACTGTTGGCCAACTGTAATGTGTTATGTGTTTTTCTTGTTAGCTCATTGTACTGTACCTTTATGCATTTGAAAAGAAGATTTCATTAAACTGATTCCTTTTAAATAATCACAAAAATGGCAAATCAATAGGTCTATAGAGATATTGACACTTATAAGGTAATGTAGTAGTTTTTTGGGCCATTTTCTTTTATTATGACCAAGTCCACTTGTGCATAGACTACCTAAAGTTTTGAAGAGAAAATGACACTAATGACTTGCCTCGTGTTTTAACAGCTCTTCTTTGGATGGCTTGATAGTGGGGCAATTGATTGATGGGCACACATACAAAGTTTGGTGTTTATCATTGGACCTTAAGCAGCCGAAGACCAGCCACTCCTGGCCTTTGTGGTCTGTCTGGAAGTGCATGCGCATTCCTAAACAAAAATAAACAATGGTGAATTAAATTATAAATCTTTTTATTGAAAAATTGTCATGTTTAAAGATGTAAAAAAAGTAAACCATTCCTTAAGAGGTACTTTTTTTTTCATGAGGATCCAATCCTTCAAAGGACTTTGATTATATGACTGCCTTGGTCACATGACTTACTTGACCACATTTAAACTCTTTAAAAACAAATTGAACTGCTCCTTTACCCCAAACAATTTGATTTCATGAAAAAGAAAATGATGGCATACTTATCTGGTACGATAATTAAGAAAATTACTAACTGTCAAGGTCGTCAGAAATATAGCCATCTCTACAGTAAAAACACTGCTGAACTCTTCCTTTTTTTGCCTGCTTGACACGTGGCTTAAAATTGACTGAACCATCTTCAACTAGAAGTGATAAAAAAATTGGAAACTCAACACTACAACTGACAACATCTAGGAGTGATTTCTGAAAGCTACTGAAAAAGTTTGCCATAGACTTCAAACTCTGGTTGAAGAAGAGCCACCCTTCCTGTGACTGGATAAAATCAAGTCTTCAGTCAAACATTTTAAAGTTAAAACTATCAAGTTATTCTGCCCTCCTCATACAAAAAGTAAAATGTTAACGCTTCATGGCAATTTTTAATAGGCTATTCATTTTTTTAAATAAAACAAGTAAAAATTAAGTCTATTGCACATAGAAGCAACATGTAACTATTTGCCGTGATAAAATAAATACACTGTACATGAGGTAGAGTAAAGCACCTTGCCCTTNACTCAAACTGACATGAATAAGAGGGTTTCTTGTACCCAATCCCAGGATAACACTGGTAGGAATGTTCTGCCTGAAAAATATAGGATAACACTAGTAGGAATGTTCTGCCTGAAAAACATAGGATAACACTGGTAGGAATGTTCTGCCTGAAAAACATAGGATAACACTGGTAGGAATGGTCTGCCTGAAAAACATAGGATAACATTGGTAGGAATGGTCTACCTGAAAAAACATAGGATAACACTGGTAGGAATGTTCTGCCTGAAATAAACATAGGATAACACTGGTAGGAATGCTGTGTCTGAAAAACATAGGATAACACCTGTAGGAATGTTCTGCCTGAAAAACATAGGATACCACTGGTAGGAATGTTCTGCCTGAAAAATATAGGACAACACTGGTAGGAATGTTCTGCGTGAGAATTATCCTGGATCCGCCCCTTTACACATTCTTTTACTAGGGGGCATAACACTGTTGGCCAACTGTAATGTGTTATGTGTTTTTCTTGTTAGCTCATTGTACTGTACCTTTATGCATTTGAAAAGAAGATTTCATTAAACTGATTCCTTTTTAAATAATCACAAAAATGGCAAATCAATAGGTCTATAGAGATATTGACACTTATAAGGTAATGTAGTAGTTTTTTGGGCCATTTTCTTTTATTATGACCAAGTCCACTTGTGCATAGACTACCTAAAGTTTTGAAGAGAAATTGACACTAATGACTTGCCTCGTGTTTTAACAGCTCTTCTTTGGATGGCTTGATAGTGGGGCAATTGATTGATGGGCACACATACAAAGTTTGGTGTTTATCATTGGACCTTAAGCAGCCAAAGACCAGCCACTCCTGGCCTTTGTGGTCTGTCTGGAAGTGCATGCGCATTCCTAAACAAAAATAAACAATGGTGAATTAAATTATAAATCTTTTTATTGAAAAATTGTCATGTTTAAAGATGTAAAAAAAGTAAACCATTCCTTAAGAGGTACTTTTTTTTTCATGAGGATCCAATCCTTCAAAGGACTTTGATCATATGACTGCCTTGGTCACATGACTTACTTGACCACATTTAAACTCTTTAAAAACAAATAAAACTGCTCCTTTACCCCAAACAATTTGATTTCATGAAAAAGAAAATGATGGCATACTTATCTGGTATGATAATTAAGAAAATTACTAACTGTCAAGGTCGTCAGAAATATAGTCATCTCTACAGTAAAAACACTGCTGAACTCTTCCTTTTTTTGCCTGCTTGATACGTGGCTTAAAATTGACTGAACCATCTTCAACTAGAAGTGATAAAAAAAATCGAAACTCAACACTACAACTGACAACATCTAGGAGTGATTTCTGAAAGCTACTGAAAAAGTTTGCCATAGACTTCAAACTCTGGTTGAAGAAGAGCCACCCTTCCTGTGACTGAATAAAATCAAGTCTTCAGTCAAACATTTTCAAGTTAAAACTATCAAGTTATTCTGCCCTCCTCATACAAAAAGTAAAATGTTAACACTTCATAGCAATTTTTAATAGGGTATTCATTTTTTTTAAATAAAACAAGTGAAAATTAAGTCTATTGCACATAGAAGCAACATGTAACTATTTGCCGTGATAAAATAAATACACTGTACATGAGGTAGAGTAAAGCACCTTGCCCTTATTCCATACCTTCAACTGAAAACTCTTCTACAACCTCCTGTCTGCTTAAGATAGTTTGTTTTCTACGACTTGAAGGAAACAAAGGAGAGACAGCATGGGTTAGCATCTTTTCATAAGGGTCTTGACCATGGAGATATTTTCCTGTGGTCTCGGATGTATGGCATCCGCTGCTATCAAATTCAATGTCCTCCTGTAGGGGTTTGGAAGACTCCAAGTCCGAGTCAGACATACTTTTATTTGTTTCTTTTTCTTCCTTTCTCTGTAATCTCATCTGATGTTCCAATATCTCAGATGAAATTGAACCACTGGTGTCATGGTCAAGATAGACCAATGGTTCATTAAAACTGCTGCTCCCCCTGGTATGGACAGGTAGTTCTGTACTTATTTCATTCATGGCATGGAATAGGTCTCTTGAATCCACGTTTCCTGAGTCAGACTCAATATCAAGATCTTTATTGTGTCCACTGTCCTTCCCCAGGTGCCTCAGGCTCATTTGAGTAAGTGCTTTTTCTTTTTTAATCTTTTTTCTTTTCTTAACATCCACTGGCTTGAAAACGACCCTTCCACTGTCTAAGTGACTATGCCTGCTGAAGTCTAAAATTTCACATGCTCTGTCCTCACAACAGTACATTTTACTGGCTAATCTTGACTGCCGTTTATCCAAATTGACAATGACTGGCTCCCAATTGCAGTGAGTATCCAGGATGTGGCTTTTGACATCTATACCTAGAACAGACTTGTAATCACAGTAATAACACTTGTAACCTAAAGACCACCGTGACAGGACTTCACCTAACCTTCTCTGGTCCTCTTTTGCTTCATGTTCATGTGGCACATCCTCCCTTTCTGATTTATGTCTACCCTCTTGCTCGATTTCTTGAGCTGAGTCAAGAGAATAGAAGGGATTAGTTGGTTCTGCACTTATTTCATTCATGGTGTGGAATGAGTCTTCTGAATTTGAATCTTCCCCTCTTTTTCTTTTACCCAAAGTTACCTTTGTGTAAGCCCTTAGCTCCTCTTGGAAAGAATCCTTTGAACCTGAATCTAAGGTTTCTGAGTCAGATTCAACACCAAAGCCCTTTTCAGGTCCAATGCCACGTCTAAGGTTATTCCCACGGTCATCTCTCCTTCTTGGTTGGGTGAGTATTATTTCTTTTTTAATCCTGTTTCTCCTAACAATATCCGCACTTTGGAAAATAACCTGTCCATTTGAATGAATATGCTTGTTGAGGTTGAAAATGTCACAGGTTCTTTTCTTACAAAAAAACATTTTACTAGCTAATTTTCCCCGCAATCTATCCAAATTGACCATTACTGGGTTGGAATTTATGTGAACATCCAAGATGTGCATTTTGATATCCATACTTTGCAAGGACTGGTAATCACAGTACTTACACTTATAACCTAGAGAAGACTGTAATAGCCTCTCATCTGAAAAAAAGTTTCTCTGAACCTTTGTTGTTTCATATATATGTGGCACCCCTTGTGATTCACTTCTATCTTCTTGCACCATTTCTTGAGATTCAGAACTTTTCCAATCTTCCTCGTCTTGGTCAATTTTTATCAAACTCTCATTTACAATAATATCACAATCAGTGTCATTTGCTGAATCACTAAGTTCCATGTCAGGTTTCAGGAACTGATTTTGTCTTGCTTTCTTTTCAGGCTTTGTGAAATAAATATCTTCTGGTGTATGCCAGTGCATCAAAGGACTAGCTATGTCACAATTTCTGTCCTCACAGAAATACGCCAACATGGACTGCTTGCGCTGACGTCTACGCAAATCCACCATGACTACCTCTCTGCCAGGGTGACATTCCAGAATGTGAACCTTCATTGGCATTTCTCGCATGGAGTTAAAATTGCAGTGCACACACAAATAACCATAGTTCCTTCCCATTAATGTTCTTCTCTGTTCTATATAGTCTTCAAAGCTCTCTGCATATGTCGCCTCATTGCAGCTTGAAAGTTCCCCCTTTTCTGGACCATCACTGGCCAATGACTCCTCAACCTGTTTCCCAAACCCTCCATTTTCACTTAGCAGCTCAGTTTCTTTTGCCTTGGTTGTTTCCTCATAAGCTATCAACACTTCTATGCCGTCAGCATTTAGCAGTTCTTCCTCTTCTTGGTCTCGCTCCAATGGATCTTCCATAATTGCAAGTTGCTCCAAAGCTGCATGACACATTATGTCTGTTGAATTATGGAATGCCTTGGCATGTCTCATAATTGTCTGTGCTCTGAGTGCCATGAAAAAGCAATTTGAATCAGGGCACAGGAACCACTTGCTCTGAGATTTTGTCACTGCCAGATCAACCAAAATAGGGGGTTGTGATGCATGGGCCACCTGCAAGTGGTTTTTTCCCTTCAAAAATGTGGGGAATTTTGCTGGACAATACCAACATGAAAAGTTCTGGATGGTTTGTGTTGTCATCAATGAAGTACGGGAGGCAAAGGCCTGGCAATTTGTCTGGTGTCCTTTATACATGTCTATTCCCATTTTAATACTTTTCTTGCCACAGCAACACATTTGAAATTTATGTTCTGGGCGGCAAGTCTTTGGAGCCAAAATCCACAAGCAAATTTCTGGAAATCTTCTGTGTGCATAACGATGCCTGTAAGTTGTAGTCAAGAGGCGACCGCATATTTCACAAAACAGGTAAGAATTCCCCGAATCCATTGCTTTAAAAAAATTGCGGGTGCCCATATATTTGAGTTGCTTTTCAGATTTCAGTAATTTCCCTGCCAGAGCATTGCCTTCCTTGGTAAAGTAAGTGCTCTGACCTTGACCATGAATGTTACTGTCACCCTTGCTGACAAGACTGCAATCATCAGAATCCTCTGGAAATTGTACTGACTTGTCCAATTTGCCCAACAACTAAAACAAGAAGGTATAGACATCATAACTGCCTACATACAGCCATTTGTGTTTGAATCAAGTTACACAGAATTTGTCCACACTACAAGGACATACAATAGTGATGTACATAGTTCACATCTAATTAATGAAAGTGTTTATAGCAGTGTGCATGGGATGGGGGGTGAGAAGGACCATTATTCAGCAAATATTAGTTTATAAATGTCACCATAAGTCATTGAAATATACATTTTTAAATTCTAATATAAAAAACTACATATAATAATCATGTATTTATGAATGGGCAACTTTTTTGAATAGTTACGTTAAAATTTGAAAGCTCTCTCCCGAGACCCCAGTTATTTTTGCTGCGGAAAAAAGACTAACAATCATAAGGGACAATAAAATACGAGCAGAAAAGATGAATAGCAACAACAACTAACTCTTAGACCATCTCACCTTATCTCTTACTTCAGATCCATCATCTCCAGAATCTTCATCATTTGTGTTAGTTTGAGCTTCCTCGTGTATTTTAACCATGGCCTTCTCCTTGGCTTTTCTTGGATGTGCCCTACTCCAAATCTTTGGTGGATTTTCCACTTTATTTTGAACACATGAAAACGCTGATTGCACTCCACTTTTGGTAGTTGGGATAATTTTCACAACTGACATAGTTCTACCTGTTCTGACTGCATGCACTAAAAAACTTGGAGCCGTTGCAGAACTTGAAACTGCTGGTTTTGTTTTCATTCCAGCCTCACTTAAGTCACCACTGTGGTCATGTTTTGGAAGTACCTTTTCTTCCTTTGTTGGATTACTCTTTGACATATCATCTTGTTTTTGACCTTCCCCTGATAGGCTTCGAACATCACTGATCACCAAAGGCAGTGGTTCATCTTTGGAGGAATCAGTTAAAGAAACTTGCAATGGGGAGGTGTCTGTCTGGTTTGTTTGCTCCGTGGATGTCAAGAAGGATGGTGGCAGGGTGTCTTTCTGATGCAAATTGCGTATTAGTAAAACCGGCACCGGCTGGTTGGGTATGTTGCTTGAAGCAACCTTAGTTAATACTGCTACATTGTTCCCTGAAGGTGTAGTCTGTTTCACAGCCTTCCAGGTGACCAACTGCTCAGACTTTGCAACATCTTGTGATTCCTGTTCCGGTTTATCAGCACCTTGGGTTTCCTGAGCTGGCTTATCTACACTGCCCTCCCTCTGCACTGTGGAAATGCTTTCCTTGTTTTCAGGAATGATGCCTTCTCTCCTTTGACCGACATGTATGGACATGTATTTGCTTTGTGCAAGGGTGTTTGTATCAGTTTGTAGTTGGTCCATGAGCTGAAAGCCAATGTCCTTTACAGGCTCTATATTTCTCTTTACATAAGTGAAATGCTGTGGATTGGTTTGATTAGGCTCTGGGCCACTGTGGTCCCTTGTGATAGTTGTGGTTGGTTTGAACCTGTTCAATATTTTCATCTGTGGGTCTTTTACTTCATATTTTGTTAAATCACTGTCACTGTCTGAAATCAAGTATAGCTTGGTTTTGTCATTCTTTGCTGTTAGTATTTTCTTAATTCTTCTTGTGATTTCGTTATGCGATACTGCTGAGGTCACCTCTGACTGTGAGGTTTCACTGTTGTTCACTCTCATATTCCCTTCAACAGATCCAACATCATCATTGTTGGAACAACTAACTGGAATTGCCTGTGCTGCCACAGATGAACTGGTATCATCATTTGAAACTGCCTGTACTGTGACTGGAGAATTATTGTCCACTAATAGTGACTGCACTGGCTGAGATATTGAATCTGGTTTCAATGCAGTTTTTTGATGCAGGATCACATATATCTTTGGCTTCTTTCTCAATATACGAGGCCTTCTATCTTCTTTAGGGTCATCCTCTGTCGTCAAAAATGAATATAGAGTCCTGTTTTTTCTTTGAAGATTACTTGGGAATATTTTTGAGCTTACAGTCATCTCAGTACTTTGACAATTCATTTCTTTGGTCTCTGGTTTTCTCTTCAGTACGTTTGGTTTTTGATCACTGTCATCTTGTGATTGTTGCATATCAGTCTCACTTTCAACAGTTTTAGGTATGTCAGAAATGGGCAGGCCTGGAGAATGTGCTACTTTTGGAACATCTACAGACTGTGGCTTCATGAAACTAGGGCAAAAGCTTTGCATCAAATTTTCACTTTTAGATTCATCAGTCCTCTGACGTTTATCACCCATTGTTTCTTCACTTAAATAAGCTGAAGTGACTGGAACCTGGTTTACAGCCACGGTCATTATTGATTTCTCCTGGTTGTCGCCATTACTGCCACTACCATTTTCTGCCAACAGTGCTGGCTGATGTAGACTCATTTCATCACAACACTCTGTGTTGAGCAGACTGCTGGTCTCAGATTTTGGCACCAGTAAGGGGGAGGTTTGTTCCAGTAATCCACAGCCTCCTTCCGTCTTTTCAGACTTTGGCTCCAGCAGGGGGGACCTTTGCTCCAACACATCAAGTTTGCAGTCATCTTCCTCCTCTTCACTGGTGCTTACATGTCCACTTGATTGCCCCCTCCCTGAAAGTAAAAATACTCTGATTTGTGCTGGGTTCAGTTGAATCTCTGTAAGTCAAGCATACTTTTATCTTCAGCCTTCATCACAAAATATTACTTTTCTGGGACCATCTATTTCCATTTGTAAACCCTGCTTAGATTAGTTCAAAGGACTTTCGATAATCCTCAGGCTTTCCAAGTCCGGCCATTCCCTTTTTCTCTCTTTGCTTAGGCAATTCTGAATAATGAGTAACCTTCTTCTTTGCAATAAAAAACAATAAATACAACATTTAGAATAACTGGGGTTTTGAAATTCGTAGACAGTTTTAATTTATTTATTAAATAATCTAAATGTTGTGTTTCAAGTGTTTCACTTTTATTCATATTATTTTCATTATTATTTTAAACCCTTTTTCCCCTTTTTACACTTTTGAATAGTAGGAAATTGAATAATTACACAACAGCTTTTTAAAAATTGACCCCAAAAGAAAAGATGACAATATTCTGCAAGAAAAATCAGAATTAACAAGACAATAAATTTCATTCAGCAACTCTGTGATTTATTTCCATACGATATCAACTGTTACATGATCTCTGCAAAGAATTTACAAACTCTAGTCATATTTCAATATCAACTCTCACAAGTGCAACCCAAAATTATTACCAACAAGAATAACAATAAACAACAATAAATTTACTGGCCTTCAAAATCATAACAAAGAATTTCTTTTACCTTAAATATTCTACTCATTTTACCAGTTGCCAATGCCATACCAATGTGTCCATACTGACCACATATTCCATTACCAATTTTGATTATCTGAGGCCTGTTTTGCAAAGTAAAGTTCACACCAAAAGTTGGTCTCATCATTTAGACAAAACCAAGTCTACTTATATGAAATATTGTGTCTGTTAAATAATGGTCAAGACATAGCTGACACTACAGTCCAACAGCTACTTTGTGTTAAATAATAACTACGATTTAACCAGAAATGAAGTGGAACTAAATTTTGGCTAAAAAAATCAAGACCAATTTTCAGTCTCAACTTATTTTGTGAAAACTTGGGGGTACTATTGGTAAATCATCACAAAAATGCATCAAAGATGCATTCAGCTGAGCACCGAACCCCCTCCACCTCTTCAAATTCTAAATAGAAGAATCTGTCCCTGTTCCCTTCTGAAAGGGAAATGTTTCACACAAGCCCCTTCGAATATATTACCACAAATAATAACATTTTCCCAAAAATTCTTTTTCTGATGGGAGGGGGGGGAGGACAAGGGCAGGAAAAGAAGAACGAGCCCCTTGCCTCATATCCTAGATACACCATGTCAATAACATTGGCAACCTTAAATATCTCTTTTACAGGGAAGCTGCAAAATATTCTATTTTATGTCATTCTCATTTTTTTTTTTATTTTACTATATACACCTCTGAATTCTCATCTATCATCATGATCAAACTGTAGCCTTCTTAATCACTACAGAAAAGAATATTCTTTATCATCATATATATATCCCGGTTACTGAAAATGAACGAAAATTAATAAAGTTTGACCCTTGCATCCATACGCAGTAATATAAATCTTATTGACATCTATCTACAGAATATAATATTGAATACAAAATATACCAGTGCAACAAAAATAATAACATATGCTTAAATGTGTCAATCCTAACTCTAAATCTTAGCATCTCAAACAAAGTCAGGGGTCTAGATAATAACAATCAAATTTAAATGAAGTTTTATGCTCCAGCAAACTTTTTAAAAAATTTCCATGAAATCTGGTTTACAATGGAATATGAAAAGAAAGTCAACATCCTTTTGTTGCTTTAGCAGGGAACAACATATAACCACAAACTGATTTCTAAGTTTCTGCCGCAGAATACAGTTAATAGCTGTTAATACCTGAGCCAAAAGTTTAATGCCCATAATTCATGAATCCTGAAAAATATAGTATTGAGCAATATAACATCTCACACACTGCAAAAGCTGTGCCAACATGCTAAGAATTTCTTCACCTGAAGGTGGAAATGAAACAGCCAGACAAAACATGGTCAAATATGTCATAAAATTTAAAGGGATAACAACTCTTCGTAGGGATCTATATTTCACAATTAATACATTGTGAACAACTCACAGAAATATTATATAAATTATTCTATTTTACCACAGCAGTTACAGCAATACATCTGAAATCTGTGCTTGCCATCTGACCATGTGACCTCCATAGATGGCTATACTCTATAATAATCCCTTAAGAGATTATTACAGAAAAAAAAAAAATTTTTTTAGAAAAAAAAAAAGAACTAACTTTGAATGTAGAAATGGATTCATTAACCATTGGTAAGTATGGGAAAACTGCTTTTTACCCCAGGAAAATTCATTTTATGGCCAAAATGAACAGTTGTTATCCCTTTAACTTCATTAATTCTTTATTAAAGCCATGATCAATGATCCTGAAGTTTAGGTCAGGTAAATGACCTAATGAACCATGATCTTCACATTGCAACCTGCTGTGCAATTTCACTTTCTGAAATTTATCAGTGTGTGAGGGTTGGTATCATTTATAATGAAACTTTGAGGTAGCAACGTAAGACAAATGCAATAGAAAAGACTAGCTGCAACTGTGTATAAAACATCAACTTCAGTAAATTATCACAAAGACGTTGAAATGTATAGATTGATTTCTCCAGTTGTAGTGTCAAACAATAAAAGAATGAAAAAATCAAACCCCTAACTGGACAAAACACACACACACAGACTTCTTCAGGGAACCTGAACTAGGATAATTATTCAATCTTTTCAATGGGGAAAAATTTCAAATTTTATAGATACTGTATTTTTTAGTCATAATTTCTAAAAATAAAAACATCCCTTGAGTGGTAGCAACAAAATTAATAAGCAGGTTACACTACGGTTCTATTCCATGCAGTAAAAGCACCGCCAATGCCATATAGAAATATATTTTGATTACAAAATTATGTATCTGAAAGTTTAATAACATTTGCCCATTGAAAAAATCCAGTAATTACAATAACTGTCACAGTGGCCATGTTACAAACAAAAGACCGCATTTCCAATTCCACAATTGTTCCAAGTAGTATCCACATCACAATATTAATAACACTTCTTAGCAGCCTACCACATTTGTTTTGCTCAAACATTTTGTGATCAAACGTGTATCATGGCCCAACACTAAGAGCTGGGAGATGCCCCCTATCATAATTTTAAAAGGATCATTTGTGATGCCTCGATTATTGAAAGCTGTTCACTGGATTACATTATGAATCTGTAATCCAGACAACAATGATTTGGTGATATCCAAAATCCAAGAAATGTTTGTAAATAGCCCCATACATTATGATCTCTCAATCCATTACAATACATTAATACAGGGGTGGGGAACTAAAGCAGACTTCATCAACACAAATGCCATTCAATAACTATGAAAACAATGTTCTTAACACAAATAGCCCAAACTATATACACACAATGCCTCTCTATATACAAATAATATGGGGAATCACTCCTCTCTCTATATATAATCATCTACCAATACAATTTACTTAATATTTAATATGTACATCATCTACCTTACAGGTGCTTTCGTCTTTATTTATCCACTATTGATCAATTGAGTGAAAATTTGTTATTTTGTCTTCAGTGCTGACACAGACAGCTGATATCCATTTTCTAATTATACAAATTAACAATCAGGACAAAAACACTACCTAATAGTATCTACTATTAAGCTTTCCTGAGGTTTAGTCCCAATAGTTGGCAACTTCTTCATTTTCAAATCTCCATATGCACAGCAAGAATTATCCATGAAAATGTGGAAATGAAAAAATTGGTCCTAAGTTGTCTTTAAGACTTGGCTATGATCAAGCCCAATTCTTTGCATAGCAGTATAACACAATCAAATAAATAAATAAATAAAAATAGCAATGAAAATCCTCATTATAACAGACAATCTTTCCATTATAGATTATTGTACCTGGTTAATATGCAATCCTGACTGTTTCAAATACAATATACTTGACTATGAAGTAAATCACCATTCTTTTTCAATCTATTGTGTATATAATTTTACAGATACCAAGGTCCATACTACAATTAATTGTCATTTTCATTCATTTAGAATATTCTTTGTTGAAATCCATATTGCTTTTTGTACTTCTTTACAATATTATGAGTAATCATTATTTTATATATATATCTGGAGATATTTTCTGGGAATCACACAGTCAAGATTTCTCTAAGATAAACATGTTTCTAACTACTCCCTGCATAAATACATGTATATATTTATATAAAGCCTATTTCAATATAAATGTACTGGCATAATAGTTCTCTTTCTTACTGGCCTATTCCTGAATAAAATGGCAACATAACAGATGTTTAGATCAAATAGTCAAGTTCATTGTTTCAAAAACAAAAGCTGACATCTATGTAGTTTCAAAAAATAATAATCAAATAAAAAAAATTAACTTTTAATATTTTGGCAGATCTATACTCACAACTCTTAAAAAATATGACTTCATGCTTCATTTTACTTACATTTACCACTCTTGCATCTCTATCATCAATTCTCTTATCTTTCCATTATGTATGCCAAAGAAGCACATAACACTATTACAGCATACTTCTACAGGTGCTTCAAATTAAAGCTCCTTTCAATTTCTTCGATTATGTCGTGCACTATCATTTTATCACCACATCTTACCATACCTTAAAGTCAATATTATGTTCCTTTCATTTTTCAAGTTTTCAAAAGGCAATTTTCCTCAGTGGTTGGCGGATGTTCTTCACAACTTACTATAAATGAATCATTGACAGACTGTCTAAACTATGTGCCTATATGAAAATGACAAATATAATAAAGGCTGAAATAATTTGCATAAAATGGGTTAAGTTTCTTCACACTTCATAGCAAGGAGCGAAATATTCTTCAAACTTAAATTAAATGGATGAAATTTCTCCACATCCCAAAACATGTTTGAAAATGTTCTTTAACTTTTAA